GAATCTTCGAAAAATATCAAAAAAATATTTTACATGAAAAACATTGACCAAAATACCCCTGTAAAGTTTCGGGGGTATTTTGGTCAATTTTATTTTTGCGGTTTTTTTTTTATATATTTTTATTAGGTGCGGCTTGATGAGACGAACACACGCCTAAAATTTCAAGCGATTTGGATTTGTAGAAAAAAAAATTAAAATTCAAACACTACCGGACATCCATGATCGTCAAATCGGCCCAGATCCAATATCGGCCGTTGGGCTCATTTTTTCTTGTGAGCCCACTGGTTCACAGGATCATTTTCCATATATATATATATATATATAAAGAGAGAGAGAGAGAGAGAGTAAAATAAACATATTCCTTGATCATAAAAACACAAACTAGGATTATTCAGAAATTTGAAGAAGTTTCTACAACATACCTACAAACAGTTTTAATACAATATGGAATTCTCATACCATACTAAAACGAAGTAAGATGCCCCTGGTCATGTAATAAGGTTTTTAAATTATTTTTCTGGTTTTCAAACATTACTGGTTGCATTGATGTTTGATGGCTCTGTTTTCTTGTTGAGCAGGTTCAATGGCTCTATAGGACACTGTTTGTTGTCCCTCTTTCCCATTCTTGATCCAATATGAGGAAAAGGTATACTCACCATACCCTTAAGGACTTGTTTAATGATAACCGATTGATTGGACAGGAGGAACTGTGATGCATAGAGGTAGTTGGAGCCACAAAGGCGTGGCTGAGGCACATATTCTGTTTTCTTTTGTGCTTTTTGGCAGCTATCTGGCATAGGGTGTAATGGGATCTAGAAATACTATGCAATGAACATATAGTTGGTAGTCATCGTGTATGCTGTTGAAAATATAAGTTTCTGTCTAGGCTCTAACACCTTTACATGGCAACAATTCACAAGAGTATGGTATTGGGTACGCCTTTGGGGAGGCCTCACTTCACTGTATACTTCGGTACCATTAATACAAATATAATTAACTCTTCTCAAAAAAACAATTCACAAGAGTATTCACACTTTTTGTTCAGCACTAGGGTAATGTCTTTTAAGGACCCTGGATACACCTTTAGGTTTAGCTATATGCCCTGCGAATGGGTAGAGTCGGTTGACAACAGTCTACCATAGGGATGTATTCTTCTACGCACCTCTTATTTGTTGGTAGAAGCACAATGTGTTCAACCCAATTTAGACAATTTTACTTTGTGCTCTCCTTCAAGATACAGGTACATACTGAAACTCTACAACACTTCTTTCTTGCAACAACCTAAATGACACAAAAATTGCCTCCAATCCAGTGTTTAATGAGAAAATCAAGGAATTTGAAGTCGACTGCTGTTTTGTTCAGGAGAAGCTCACATGTAGTTTTCTTACCATTGTTGAGAAGTCAAACTCAACATTTTTTCACCTTAGATACTTCATGCAATTATGTGTGTACTTGAGAGGCTTTTTGTTGAGGACATCCATGTAATACTATCTACTGTTTCTGCAGTGTTAGAGCGCAAAAAAGTCATTTGATAATAGGTTCTTAGAAAAAGGACCCAGTGCTCAGTGAAATGTAGTTTAAGCCTTCAAAGTCAATTATGTCATGTTTTGTAAAGTGTAGGACAATGTCATTTAGTTAAAATCTAGGATCTTCTCAGTCAAGATTTCATAAAATCCTAAGCAAATGTCTTTATTAGGATGTAATATTGATTTGCATTATTAGTGAAGAATATCAACCAATCACTTAGACCCCAGGATAATTGACGTCCTTCAACTAACTACGAAAGAAAACATGTAGACCAATATCAATATTCCGTACATTGGTTATTATCATCCAAAGTATGGGGCCACTCAACTTTGGAATCTTTATGAAATGCAGCTGTGTATATGTAAATATAGAAATCACTCATGAAGGGTTAATAACAAATCCAAGAAATCTTTACTACATATATCTCCAAACCATCCAAGTAGACTCAATTCCCCCATGAGTATCAAGGCTTGTTACAGATGAGACAGAGGAAAGCAATTAAACAACTCCGAAATTTCACCACTTCAAAAAAAAGAAAACAATAATAATAGTTATGATAGTTCAATCATTTCCAAAGCTCAAGGTTCACAAAATAAGTTGCAGGCTTCTAGGAAACTTGCACTTGGTTGGGTTTTGCCACCACAGCTAAAGGTGGTCAGCAATGAAGACAATCTCTTCACAATCTCCCGCTTCTAGAAACAGGTAAAAACAATAGCTAAAGAATCCTAAATTCAGACATCAGATTTTATGTTTTAGTGAATCTCAAAAGCAAAGAAAACAAGTAAGCTATGCAACACACACATTCTCAAGGATGAAATGAGAACAAAGGATGTGACTTTCAAACCTTGATTTTTCAAGGCTTCCACCCCAGGTAAATCTGCCAATTTTACTCCCCCAACCTTCTTCCTAATATAAAAGCACCATACAGACACAAAAAGATCAGGCAATGGTAACACTGAAAGTATGATTTCACCAAAAGGATGAGGGTATAGAGAAATTTTGGTCCAACAATTGCCATAATAATCCAATGTTTCAACAAAAAAGAAACCTCCATAACTAGGCTGCCTTTAAAGCAACAAACATAATCTACTTGCTCAGTCAATGACAAAGAGTTGCAAAGCCAATAACCACGTCTATTAAAGAATCCAGAAACTGTGTATGACCCCAGTGAAAGAGCACCAAGCACACACATTATAGCCTCTTAAACCTAACTATCTAAACAAAAAAAAGTTAGATTGCCATAAGGGTTTCTCTTTCTTCCATCATCCATCTACATGGAACCCTATAATCTCCAAGAGTAACACATAGAAAACCTCAAAAAGTTTCCAGAAATAAATCCAGCTTTATTCTATCATCAATATTGTTGACATGGAATGCTTTGTGTATCTGCAGATTATTTTTTACTGAACTAGGGGAAAGCACCTTGTGGTTTCCCAGTAAACAAAGTCCCCGGCAACTCATCAAGTTGTCACGATTCATGTATATATATTGGACCCCTACTGCAGGTCAGTATTTTCCCTTAGTATCATTGTCCAGTGTCAACTATGTCCATTAAGATTTTAAATCAGTGGTTATATATCTAGGTAGTTCCACATGTCAACAAGTTGCAGACCATTCGAAGTTATTAGCATGTTATTCTGTTCAAACAAAAAGAGCAGGACCATTTATTTCCTTGTGCTTTTTGCTTGAGCAGCCATAGGTACTATGTATATGTGGAGTTCATAATTGTAAATCATCAAGTGAGGCAAACAGAAGTATTGCCACCATTAAGGAGTAACAGAACTGAACATACACATTCACAGAAATTTTATAATTAGACAAGGACTTATGTTAAACTGGGTCATGGCCCACTTTCCAAGAAAACTTCCATGGAGGAAGCAAATATCTATTCCAAGTA